CCATTTGAAAATCACTTCATTAAAATACTCATAATTCCCAAAAAATTATGACCGATGGTTTTTTAAAAATATAATTTTTTAACCATTTTACAAATCTCCACACTCGTATATTATYATTTAAATATCATCAACAACTTAAAAATGTATTCCCAACTGCGCATAATTTTTATTTACCTTTTGGGGTCCATTCACAAAAGTAGCAATAAGTTTTATGATTGAAGTGCAATTGACCCTGTACTTGATAATAATAATTATAGTTGCATTTTAAGAACAATATTGCCATAAATTAAGCAATATTTAATTTTCTTGTCCTGTAAAGCACCTTCTGGTGTAAAATTGTTGACACTAGCTGAACATTTAATTTCAACTAACGATTCACCATCCAGTATTTCGTCAAGGGAGCCTGCTATAAATGACATATTGTTGTCAACAATTAATCCTGCCACCTGCCAGTTATATATTTTTTGCTTTAGAATGTTTTCTAGTTGATCTTTAGCGATTAACTCCATTGACAATTCCATATCTAGTGGCAGAATAATATAAATATACCAAATAAAATATAACTCACAGTTTTAGCACTTGACGTTTGATTACACATTTTCCGAAAATGAATACTGTAAGATTATCAATATTTTAGATATTACATTAATTGATAAAAATTATAAACTCAATAAATATTACTCAATAAAATTCATAGATAACTACAAAAACGAACAAAATAGGTCCTAAAACGGCTAAAACATAAAAAAAATTACAAGTAGGTATGTACTTTACTTATTAAAAATAATATAATTCATTTTGATGAAAATTAGATGCCTTATGTAACTTCAGACGAACTATATGGGTCTCTAGTAAATGATTCAAATGATTTCTGACTTCAGGGGTCAATTTCACAATTCGTATTAGCTGTGCGTTTCTTTGGCCAATTCGACATTCATGTTCTACAAGTTTATGCTTCAAATAAAGATCAAAAAATCCTTTTATTGGTTCCACGTGGTTGGCATAAAGTAACCCATCTGAAGTTGTGATTTAATTGAAGACTAGTTGTTGAACATGTCGACTGGTTAATAGTTCTATTATAACTGGACATTTTGGACATTGGACACATTTGGTAAAGACAACACTTTATGTAAGTTGTCTAAGATCACAACGCTTGGAATTTGAGAAGAGTCACTATCAGGTTGATCAGGTATTTTGGCAAAATATTGTTACGATAATAATTAATAATTACAATTTAACACTCATAACCAAAGATAACAGGTCCATATTTAAACAGTTCACCGAGGCTCTCTTGGTAGCTCACCGCCCCAATCGGGCCTGCCTATATCCTACTTGAGTTTGAGTCCTATTGATAAAATGACAGAATATTAAAACTATTAACCAGTGTTGTAAAGTAGGTACCTACCTACCTTGAGTATTATAGGCATTTATAGCTATTGAATAATTTTTAAGTACCTACCTATCAAATACTACAACTATCTATTATTATAATGTATTCTAGCAACAACTATGTGCTTTGGCCAAATGCAATATGTCTGATGTATCAGGCATCTTTTTAGTTGTGACTCTGTGTCTAGTGGTCAAAGTGGAGGGTGATACTATAAGGTGTYATCACTGAATTCTTCTAATTTTTATAATTCACATTTTCCACCCCTCTACTAAATTTTCCCAAAATTACGCATCTCCCCTTAAATTATGCACAAAGATTAATATAGGTGTTTTTCATAAAAAATTTATTTTTTTACAATGACTTTTTAATTATTTTCACAAAAATACAACATTGTTTTATGTGAATTAATAATTTTTAACTCATTTAAATAATCGGACCAATTGTCATCTAAATCTAATAAATTTAAACATAAGTTCTTATAATTTTATATTTCAAATTAATGAAATGTGGCTATGCCAATATGAATACTGGAGTACCTACTTCTGTCTTCAATACCAATTAAATACTTCCTCAAACAATATTTTTCTTACTATTAATTTTAATTAGAAATCTAACACCCAGAGGCGGCTTCAGAACCTTAGTTTAGGGGGGGGGGGAAGTTATAATTTCACAAAACTTAATTTCAACAATTATTTTTAGTATAATATAATATATTCTATATTCTAAGTATTCCCGTAGTCCGTACAGAAATGTATGCTACGCAATTCATGTTTTGAATAATATAATAAAATAATAATACCATAGTATCAAACAATATAATATTTCATATTAATATAATTCATTTATAGGTTCTTCATAATATAGATAGCATATATATATTATTATATATACCGTCATATCTTTATGGCTCTATCTACATACTTGTGAGTGTTGTATAATATGCTTTAATTGTTAGAAATTTTTTTTTTTTTAACAAAATACATTTTTTATAAATATCGGCTTGGAGTCTCATAAATAAAATATACATTTGGACCATTTTAAAATTCTTTGTGTACATTACTCACATTATTTAGAAATCATTCAACTTTCACATGTACTGCACTAAATGAATTTCACAAGGAATACCACACCATAACATTAGGTTAAAAATAATGTATAATGCATAACTTTATAGAAAAATAAAATAAGTAATTTTTTGTTGGAACATTTAATTAATACTTTAACATTATAAAAATGTTAAAATTATTTATAATTATTTATTTCAACCAATAATTAAAATATATACTATAATGCTAAAAAAGAAATAATAATTAACAATCAAACATTTATTCAATTATTACGTTTCTCAAAAAGACATTTTATAAAACAAAAAAAAAAAAAAATATAATTTAATTAAAACAATCAATTAATAATTTAATTAATGTACCCCAAAACATAAAAAAATATACAAAACAGTTATTTATGAAAACACAAAAGTTACATTTATTTTTATAGTTAACTTAAATATAATAAATTATGTACATATAGTACACACAGGTGCTATACTAAAGCATACAAATGTACATTATTCTTAAATTATAAATACCTATAACTTAGACGAGTATGGCCAGTTTAAACTATATATTATAATTATGCGTATATTATGTGTCTTGACTTTTATACAGCCATATAACTATATAAGTATATTTTGTCTAACAATAATATAGAACAAATGTCAAATATATTTAAGTATGTTAGTCGGAAGTTCAAATATTTACTAATATTATAAAAAACAATATGGCACAAAATATTAGATGAATACTTATGATTAAAAAATATATTTAATATGAATTTAAATTGGTAAAATTGTTTGTTATACGATAAAAACAAATTATATGAAAGCTTCTATTTTTTTTAGAAAATATATTTACAAAATGTCATAATATACTTAATATCTTAACATAAAGATGTAGGTTTATGATTTAATCAATTAAGAGGGCGCTATACACATATTTGTGGTCTCCGTCTTACAAGTGCTTAACATACCAAATTTACGCTTAGTTTCTAGGTGGGTTAGATAACTTAGTTTTTAAGTTATCATTTTTAATTTACGCTATTTTATATGCGCAAAACTTGCTACAAAATTGAACTATTGTAAAAAAACCCACAAACCCACATACCCACATACAAACACAGATAATGTTCTTATATCAAGTTTCATAATAGGTTGATTCATTCTAATTTTTAAACTAACGGAGCTAAATGCCATCTGCTAAGCGTAAATTTGCTATATTATACACTTGTAAAACGGAGACAACAAATGGTTGTGTAGCGTCCTCTTAAGTAAATATTACTTTAACAGTTTAACCATTGACATTTTATTTAATATTTATATTTTAAACTTATATCAAATATTACACATATTAATGTTATAAAAGGAACACTGTATAAAGACATTTCGTAAAATATATATTAAGTTTTAATGTACATAAACGTTATAGAATTTATAAAGGAATAAATTTGTTAAGAAGTGTAATCAGATAAATTGTAATCTAATATCAGCACTTAAGGTCGTGCATAACACATAACATATTCTCTAATATTATTTATCCAAAATTATCAGTTATTTTACTCAACATAACAGTTATATTGCCACATAATTAATAATTAAAAGTAAATATATTTTTTAACCAAGAGTATATTATCTAGTGTATTTACACTTATCTATGAAATTAAACGTAATACAAATAGCAATTAAAAATATTTGTATAGATTGTATAAAATATTATTACAAATGTCTTTCATATCAAGGTGAAAAGGCAGTATTTTCTTTTCATGTAAACCCATTGGTGTAAAGGGCCAATTAGATATAAGAAAAATATACAACTTACACATTAATTTTAAAATTATGGTATACTTTACCAAAACAAAACAAAATATAACACAACAGACTCTAAGTTCTTTAGAGGATTTCCCTGATGTTGACTGCAATAGGCCAAATAGTTTTATTTGGTCAACTAGTCCGGATGTTGTTAAATCGAGAAATGGCATACATAGTTATCAAAACAATATATGGAAGAAAATATATGGATTGGCAGTATTTATATATGAGGTCGATATGTAGCAGTTGAAATGTGCATCCCCAAAATGAAAACTGATACATTTTCATAGTGTATAAGAAGAATGTCCATAATATACGTTTCTATACAAAACAAATGCAATGTATTAATATGTCATAAGCATAACTATGTATTACATTTTTTTAAACAGAGTTTTATAAGTAAAATAAATTATTTATCCAACAAAAAAATGATTTTTTTATCATGTTAAAAATAATTAATTATTCGTTAAAAACAATTTTTAAATGTCCACTAAACTATTATTTATTTAAGTAAAGAAAAAACTTAAAATTTCTGTTTTAAGTAAAAACCGCCCTACATTTATTTTATCAATTTGATTAATATTTCAAAAGAATAAAAAAATTGAATGGCAAATGTTTATATATTCCATTTAAAACCTTTGAGCAAGAGCACTATTATTAAAAACAAGAGTAGCTGCGCATTTTTATTTTTTACAACAGAGCTAATATAATATAATGATTTATGATAATCACTAACACATCAAATATTGATATATTTATTGCATTTTAAACTTTAATTTATTTAATTTAAGTGCATTTATAAAATGCAATTTATAGCAACATATCTTTGAAATTTTTTTTTTAAATTTAAATTTATATTTTGTTTATTTAGTCTAAAACATAGAGAATAACATTTTTGAATAWAAATAGAATAAAAGTTAAAGAATAMATAACAAAAACTTTTGTATTATTAACAACAGCACTCGCTGGAAGGTTAATATTAGCTTAACTTTTAAAATTTTCTAATTTTTATGAAAATATATTAACTTTTTGGTTGTTATTAATGCGCCAAACAGGCATTTGCTTTCTCCGCCTTATAAACGTAAAATAGGCCATGCTATACGTTTGTAAGATGGAAACAACAAATACTAGTATGCCATCCTGTTAAAGAATCAATAATCATGCTTTCATAATTGATTTAAAAATTAAACTTACGCCAGCGGAGTCAGCATAATTACGGTACTGCCTATCATAAATATCTTCCACTGCTAAGTAAAAAGGCACTGAACACAAACTAACGTAATACCCAGTGTATATGCCATGCCACAATGCAGAAATACCAAATGCTACCAATGTTCTTCAATAAAAATAAAAGATTGTAATTGTAATTAATTAAACATCTATGACATACAATATACAAGTAATATAAATATATTTACCTAAGTTTTTTAATAGGAACTCTTCTATACACATATTCAGCAATCCAATACTGTATAGTCATATTCCAAATTCTAGTAGCTCCACGAACTGTTGAAATAGTTTCTACTTTCATAATATCAATACTTTCAATACAATCAAAATTATAAGCTTCTCCTTTCACAGAATATCTATGAATAGTACAGATGACAAAACATTTTAAAAATTTCAAGGTAGTACACAAATCAATACATATTTTTAATTTGTAAAAAAATAAATACATACTCTGTTTCTAATGATTCGAAATTTTTAGTAGGGCCACTCCCAGACTGTGGATCTGTCACTTCAGGATAAGCACCCATTCCAGAAGCAATACAAATAAGCTCAGAAAAAATAAAGCCCAAATATAATCTTGTGCGAAAAATAAAAAATGAAGAGTACATATACCACAATCTGTATGATAATGATGTTGATGAATAAAAAGAGTCATTTTTGAATTCCTAAAATATTTTAAATTTAAACATAATTACAATTGATTTGTATTTAAATGAAAAATTAATTGAAATGTTTAATTAGTATTATAATTAGTTTACTATTGTTTGTTAATAATTTATTATTAAATAAATTGCTATATTTAATTCTTAACCATAAGAAATTATATATAAAACTTGTATAAAGTAAATTGGTATTATATATATAATATAATATATGTATGTATTAAATGATAAAATTATCATTAATAGCAATACAATTTGGTGTCTTAAAGTTGTATGAAATTAATTTTAAGAAAAAAGATAAATAATTTGTCTTATAATGTTTTACGGACAGTTTATTTATGATTGTAAGCTTTAAAAATGTTTTTTTTTAAATATAAATTTGATAACTTATATTTATAGTTTTAATCTTTTTATAAAATCCATTTTAACTAAGTTAATTTTCATTATACTTTTAGCGAGTATTTTAAAGCTATTAAGTGTGATAAATATAAATATGGGTTCCACATCATTTAGTACAGTATATTATATTCAGCAGCATTTAATCCGGTTCAAAAAGAATCTGTACCAAAAATGTCCAGCTAAAAAATGTGTGGTAAAAAAATATAAAAATAATAATCACAGGCTAAAAAGTCGGTAAAAATAAAAATATATAGAAGTTATAATACCTACTAATTTAATTTTCATAATTTTTAAAAATGTCACGTAAAAAAAATAATAATTTAGTTAATATATTATAAATTACGAATTATTGTTTAAGATGTAATAATATGAAATAATATGCTGGAATTATAAAAGTAATACAGTTATATTTTATAATATTATAGATTATTTTTCTTTAATTCTAATTCTAATTTTTATATATTTATTTATTGGTTTTTAATTTTTTTAMTGGAAGTTTTTTAGAACGAAATTTTTGATTTTTTGTTGAGGGTTCTTTTTGAACCAGATCAAATGTGACTGGATAAAATATTGGGTCAATATAAATATGTATGTATAATAAATAGCCTTTTAAGAAGTATTTGAATATGTACCAAGATAATAAGTTTTATTAAGTATTCTAATAATTGTATTTAAATACTTTTTTTTGGTATTTTATTCCAAAATACTATATATATTTTTAACTTTAATTGTCATATTTCATTAAACAACATTTTTGTTTCGTATCTTGTGATTTTTAAACATTGGGTTTAAAATAATATTTTCAAAAGCTTATAAGATGTTTTAAGATTTCATGAAATATGCAGATGATAAACCTAAAATTTGTATCAACCTCGCTAAAGTTTTACTTGAAAATATAATAGGTAAGTGACTTTTGAAATTATTTAAACAATTAAAGAATGTATTAATTAATAATTGTTCATTTTTAACCATACATTTGTGGTAAATATACAAATATTATAATATATTAAAAAAGAACTTAACTAACTTTTAAAATGTATTTGTATTTAGATTCATATACAAATGACACCAAAATCAAGTATTTAAATAAATATTCTGAATATATTTGAAAAGTGAAGTAAGACTACTATTAATGAGTATAACATAGAAACAATGTATATTATTGGAATATTATGTACATTGTACATAGTATTTCAAATGAATAAATTGAAAAATTGCTCTTCATTTGTTTCATTAAACATTTACTCATTATAAATTTAATATAGGTAGTATGTATTTAAGCATAGTATACAAAGTAAAATTTAAAAAAATTTAAATTCAAAAGATGTACTAAATAAATAATTACGATCAAATATTAAGTATATCATGTTGTCATTTAATATACTTACTTAAGAAATTTTTTCAATAAAAATATAAACTATGATCACTTTAAATCATTTTAAAATTGAATAAGAAATACTTTTTAGATTTAGAATAAGCTTCAATTAAAAATAAAATAAAGAAGAAAGGAGTAATGCTAAGTTTGTTAAATTCTAATTCAACACTAATTAAATACAATTGTTTTATAATTAATTTTTATTAAATACCAAAAAAATGTTATTAAAATATTATTTACTTACACTTAATGGAAATATCCACGAAGTTGCCAAATAACAAATTACTAAAGTTGGAATTATACGAATTTTTTTAATTAATAAATTAATATAAGTAGCTTTTCTCCAATAATTATGATTAAATAAATCCCAATAAGTACGGTACTTAAAATAGGGTCCTATAATATAAAATATTTAAAAACAGTTAGTTAATTTTTTCTTATAATCAATTTTTAAATTCCTGTTTAATATTTACCTGTTAAAATGCCTATATAACAAAATGCATAATGGAATACTTCTAGAATACTAGGTTGACAAATCATTTTGAATTTTTTTTCAGCATCAAATTTTGCATCCTTTTGTTTCAATTTAATTAGATAACTGTCATGGACTTCAAACGAAAGGCCAACAAGCTATTAAAATATAATTAATTGCAAGTTTTCAAATACATTTATATTTAAAAAAAAAAATTATATATATATATATAAGCATTAAAGAGTTAATGGTGAAACAAGAAAATATTAACATTAATTTAAATATATATCAAAAAATATCTTAACAAATAATGATTTAGTGTTGAAACTCCTTTATTAAAAAAATTATTAGGTATTTAGATGCATAGGTACTAAATTCTCTTACATACCTTTAGAGTAAGCATCATTTGAATTAAGTTAGTATGAGGTGGTGGGTATGGTATTCCAAAATATGTTGTCATCCGAAAGAATATTAAATATCCAAATGAAAATAAGAAACTTAATATATGACAACGCCTGAAAAAGTTAAAATAATTTTAACTATAGAATGATTGAATAAAATACAAGCATATTCATATAAATATAAATCATTTCTTTACTTAATGTTAAATTGAACACAATATCAGATTCCAGCAATTATAATTAGTGTAAAATTAAATTTTAGTAGAATCAATAAATAATATTATTTTCTTACTTAAATCAAATTATAAGAAAAATTTAAAATTAAACTGACATACTAAACATATAAAATATATGCTGTTATTCTGGTATAAATTAACTATAATTTAATTTTAATCAAAAACATTTATATGCATATTGTCCTAATGTTGATACAGCCAATCAAAATTCCTTTGAAACAAGATTTATCTTAAATTTTTACTCTATTTAGTACTAATGTACTGATGTATAACTGTACAAGTATAGTAAACGGAAATTAATTTATTTTATTCAATAAAACTATATGTTCAGGTGCTCCAAACAAAGAGTTCAGGTCTGACAAAGACAAGACCTAATATTAAGGAGAGGTTGGTATATTAAAAATTAAAAATTAACCAGTCGTGAATTTATCATTTTATTGTGTTACTCAAATTATTAACTTAATTCTAAACAAACATTAATGTAATTAATGAAGTCATACCTTTTATCGATTTGTATCAAAATTGAATTGACTAGTGTGCAAATTATCGGATGGACTACATGTAAGCCAGAAACTGTCAGTACAATAATTGCTCCATAAACAGTAGCCATCCATTGTTTAACACTTTTGTGTTTAACTTTTCTGAATAAAAAGCTAAATAAAAATGATACAACCAATAAGCCAACATAAACAGTGTCATCAGAATACATGGTTAATTGTAGTTCACATCAACTGCACCTTAGGGACGAATAACTTCATCTTCTAACTGTTCTAACCTAGGCAGTAGGCAAACAATAATTAATTTTACAAGAAAAGCATTGTTTTTAAATTAAAAATATTTATAACAATCATCTACTTCATACTTGTAATATTACCTTATAAATATTATCAGCATTAAAAATGAAACAATTATTTCAACTTACTCGAGTAATACAAAATTAAATGATTTCCAAAGAATAAAAGAATAAACAACAAAAATCAATAGTTATTCTAAAATATTATTGAAATTAATCAGTATTTACACTTTACACATTAATAATTAATAATATTACAACTACTTACACTATTTTATGAATAAATAATTAGGCGTATTTAATAGTAACAAATATTAGATACGCAACAATGTATTTATATTAATTGTTTCACTATTTTAGTTTATAATTTCGACTACTTATGTAAATTATGAATTGATTACTGATGATAACCTTTATTCCACATAGTGCCAAATCAAACTTCAAATATAATGATGTATTCTTACCTAAATTGTATGAACTTATCAACATTCAATACAGTGAATCTAATAATTAGTTTTAAAATCGATGTTATGGTTATTTAATAAGTAGAAAAATCTAAATTTCAGTAATATACAACAATTAAACAACTAGTCAAGTAAATAGTAGATAGTGATGCCAAAAAGATATCATATGAATCAAAATAATATTATCAGTTTCGGCGTTTTCTGGTTATCAGCTGGTGATAAAAATGATAACACAACGTCATAATTATGATATAACAACGATTAATGACTTCCCTTTTATAATCATAAATCATAATTATCGTGATTCATATAAATATAAATATCATTAATATATGGACTATGTGATCACTATTATTTAAGAATTATTTCCTTAATTTACTTAATAAACGTTGTTTAAAGGAGATAGCGAATACCTGTGCATACGAGTCATATGGTCTGGATTCATATTCTTTTAAAATATTTAAAATATGATGCTAATATTCTTTAAAAAACCTACAAATATTCTCCTTATATTTTTCGAAAAATTATAAAATTGTAAAAATAATCAATACACCTCATCATATACAGTTTTTTTAATTTCATTTTTTTTTTACGACAGTCAAGACAGTAAAGCAGTGGTTCTCAACCAGTGTACCGCGGCACTATACTGTGCCGAGAGATCGAATCTAGAACGTTTCCCCCCMGAACAGGACAATTTCCCCCACGAACAAAAAAAAAAAGTAGACAATAATAATAATATACAATGCAAATAAATAAATGTAAAAACTAAAAATGATTGAATTAATATATAAATATAATTGTATAAATGTAAATAGGTAAATCTACTGCAGCTTACGAAAATTAAATAATATAAATCAAAAATATCACGGAATATAATAAAAGTGTTTATCAATAATACAAAATTTTCAAAAATTATTTTTTTACCACCTCTTTTAGTATTAGTTATTTCCATTATAAATTTGTTAAATTCACAAGTCACAAGAACTGAAGAACGAACTGTTTACGCACAATGTTACGAACTTTACTAAGAGACATAAAATCAAGAAATGTAATATAGAATATAGATAATTTGAGGTAGGTTTATCAATCATTGCCAATTAAATTGGGTAATAAATAACCATAGAGAATGATGATAAGAAGGGTTGGAATTTTAAAAATTTTATATTTTATTTTTATAGTATTAAAGTTACCATAGTTACGTACTAATTGGTTACTAATTCAGTAATACCATTTATAATCAATGGTAATACTTATCGATGCCTATATGGCTATGAGAAAATTGTTATCGGCGATAACTTGTACTTACCTATGTAATACATAATATTATTATTACAATATATAAATATAATTACCAATTATAGGTATATAATGGTGGTAATTTGTGTGGAAAGGCCTATGCTATGATAAAATTGTTATTGACGATAACTTGTCGTACTACATAATTTATTATTCATACCTTAAACTAAGAAAACGCATTAAAATTGTCAAAAAATGCAAAAAAATGTGTTTAAATAATCAATATCATACATTAAGATGATCGTATACTTCTGGTAAAACCAAAGTACCTATTTTAAAAATTATTATTATGTA